CCATTAAAGCTGTAAGCATTTACTATGCTGTTATTCTGAGCTAGGGCAGAAAAATGGCTGCTTCAGGTTCTGTTTTAGGGAGACAAAAGGATCACTATCTGCCTCACCTCTCCTTTAGACACCACATCATACCATGAGCCTACTAGTACCAAATCCTATATTTCCTAATTAACACTGAACTCAAACACAGATTCCATAGAAGCATCTTTCTCTCACAAATGAACTGTTCAATAACTTCACTAGTCAAAATCAAGCTATCTGGCACTGTGCTAAGTAGGGAGTGGGTACTTAGAGGGATCCCTCAATCTTGTAAAGAAAGATGTGTTTTCCCATATTGCTATGAGTATGAAAATGGCTCATAACATATATAAGCAATAATTATGAAAGAAAGGAAATATGAAAGCAGATTTTAATTCAATAAAAGAAAGAACTTGAGAGCTGCCCAACAATGAATCTGGCTGCCTCACAAAGGAGCTAAACTTCCTTTCAATAAAATGTGGATAAATGACTATAAATCAAAGCTGTAATAGACTCAGAAATTGAGGCAATGCCTAAGATTCCACCTAACCCTAATATCTACAATTTTATGAGATCAGCATCACAATAATATTTATATACTATTAATTGATACTAAGAGAGTTCAGATTTATCAGCTGTACTATCATATAACTAGTCTCTCAATACATGGAAATCCACTTTTACTATAAGGCAAGAAGCACACTGAACCCTCAAAAATGATTAATGCAAGATAATGTACGCCTTCACTCCTTCACATAAGAAAGGGATCAAGGACTTTGGAATCAGATAACCCTCCATGAGAATCCTTGTCCAGCCACTGTGTGACTTTGGACAAGTTATGGAACCTCTCTGAGTTTTAGTTTTATAAGAGGGAATATTATCTTACCTCACAGGGTTGTTATGAAAACTCTGTTAAATCACCTCACATTGTATAAGAAAATACAGTACTCTCTTTCAAATCTTACCCATTCTTTAATAACCTGCTTAAGTTATCTTCATGTTCTCCATGACTTGCTAAGCCCAAGTAATTTTTCTCTGAACTTCCAAAGTATGTTGCATATCTCTATGAATAAGACCACATCTCTGAACCCTCAATTATAGGAGAAAGTGAACTTGAGACTGTACTACGGTTGCAGTTGAACAAGCTTGATCAGGAAGAAATGGGGCTAATGAACACTTGATTAACTGGTTTAACTATTTTTAAGTGTTAATATTAAAAAGCTTAGACATCCTTATTCATGTACAAGTCTAGGCTCAAAGTAACTTTCCAAATTCTCCCTCCACTGTATCCACTGACAGATCCAATGGACTAACTCTGATTTCCTTCAGACAATATTATGTACCCCCAGAAGCCTCCACACCCCAACCAACCTCTCGATCCCTGGATATCTATCTGATTGAGCCAGTCAAGCCCAATTCTAATGTCACTTCTCTGATGCCATCCTTGATGACCCAGGGAAACTTTTTACTTTCTTTAAACTAACAGGGCATTCTGCTTAAGCCTCAATTTTGTAATTTAAAGACAACTGTTTTCATATGTGTCCAGTATCCTCCCCTACTAGACTAAGTTTTCATGGTCAGGGAACATATCTTATCCTCATTCTAGTCTACTTTATTATTTCCCCAATCTCAACACATAGCACAATGCCCATCAAACTACAGAAAATCAAAAATATTTAATGAATAACATCTAATCTACACTAATACAATTGAAGTTTCTTAAGGAAGAGGGAAAACGGAAAAGGAACAAAAAAGAAACTCACATAAACTTCAGGTATTTATTTTTAAATGAAAATTGCAAATAAAAATGTATAAATTGTCAATATTCATGTAATAGAATGCCATACAGTGACAAAAGCGCACAATCTAAAAACTATATTCTACAGTATAAATTAATCTCATAAACACTGTTTTGAGTGACAGAAGCCAGTCAAAAAGTAATATATGTTGTATGATTCCATTTATATTAAATCCAAGAACAGACAAAACTATACCTATGCTATCAGAAATCCGGATAATGGTTAACCTTGGAGGAGGGTGAATGAGAGAAGCTTTGGGGATGCTTACAATACTCTGTTTCTTGATCTTTCACCTGGTTACCAAAAGTTCAGTTCAGTTATGAAATACCATAATATATATACTTTTCTATAAGATATTAATATTTCAATTAAAAATTTAAGAAATAGAGTTAAAATATTTATCATTTCTCTGTTCTGAAAAAAATGTTAAGTCCAAGAATATATCTAGAAGCTTTATAAAAGCATTACTACTATAGAAATTGTAAAAATAACTATCAACAGGAAACCAAGGCTTAATTCTGCTAGTGATAATAAGGTTATGATACTTAACTGCCCTTTAACCAACTCTTCACTGCCTTTTTTTACATATCCTCTTATTTAAAAAAAGAGGTAAATTAATTGCTCAAGATTTCTGTCATTAAATGTTATTGGTGACTGTGTCTTTCTCAGCATATCCTACATATTTCAATCCTGTTCTAAGGGACTAAAAGCACTAAATGTTAACGTGATGAAAAAAATTTTTTTGAAAAGCTTATATGTTTGAAAACTGTGTAATACAGAATGAAAGATAAAATATAACCAAAATATTTAAAAAAAAATAAATTCTAAGAAACTGGAGTTTAGTAATAGCTTGCTCATTGAGGCTAAAATATATTAGTAGAAACATTTAAATGGGAGAAAAATAACTTATTTTCAATGTTACTTAAACTGCACATTTTTAAAATTTTGTTAGCAAACCTGATTAAAGTAAACGTTATTAGTTTGAAACTTATATAATTAACAGCTCAATTTAGAAATATTTTTAAACAAAAAGTATAAACTAATTTGCTGATTTACATAAAATCTAAAATCTAGATTTTCATTGCTAAGTCAAACATACCAACTAAAATTTTTCTCCAATGAGCTATAAAATATCTGTTTCAAAAGCTGTGGCCTGTAGTAACTTTGCTCTTCTCATTACTGAATAAAATATATACACAGCATCATATACGTGCCTTAAGAAACTCTGGAATGTGAATTTAAAAACCCAAATGAAACAGCTTATATAATTTGAGGAAGGGAGAGATCATGAATGGGAACAGAGTTGACATTTAATGATATAACCAGAGTGCCTTACCAAAATAATCCTCACTCGCTACATGGGTTAAAAAAAATTCTCAGTTCTCATGTGATTTTGACTTAATTCAAGCTCTATATGATGTATTTTATCTGGTATATTATTCAATTCATTTAACTAAGATACATCTCAATTTATTGAGTTTTGTGTTTATTACTTTCAAATTTAGAGTCACTAAGAATAGATTAATTATAGTTTACTTCCTATTTATTAAGCAAAACAATTTAAAGAAACTATTTCAAAGCAATACACTTCTGTAAAGTATAGCAAAAATATCTGAAATAAAGCAGAAGTGGCTTTAACTACAAAAAAGCAAATCATATCCAAATAAATATTGTGATCTCATGCTTTTAGTATTTAATTGGAATTTTTCTTTTAGATATCAGGAGACATTTTAAATTTCATTTGACAATATTTATAGTAAGCCTTACACATCCTTAAAATAAGCCTTGTCTATTTAAATATTCATTTTTTTCATATGAAGGCTATAATTCATTTTGGAAATTTTAGCTTTTCATTTAAAAAAAAGTGTTAAGCATTATCTATAGCAAATTGTACTGTGTTTCTAATAAAATTTCAGTGTTATGAATGATAAGTAAATCAGCACACAACTGAGATAACAGTATTCACAAATATCTATTAAAGTTGATATTGACATATCAACTGGGACATATCCCACAGTATTTCTTAACAGATCAGAATATAAAACTTGGCCCAAATGCAACATGCTATGTATACACAAATAAAAATTTTAAAAGTGAATCTCTATACAACATAATAACATTTGAGGAATATGGATGACTACGGATAAAATTACATCCATCAACAGAAATTATTAATAATCACTTAATACTGGTTTCATTTTATAGAATAACTGGTTCCAAAATTTAACCGCAACTTCTGTATTTTTTAATTTTCTGGATCAAAAGGTAGATTTCTTTGAAAATGTGAGCATTTACTTTACAAATTTCATTTTTAAATGTACATATTACTAAAGGAACATATTTTTAGCAAATGAAGTACTTTTAAAAAATATCTATTTTCTGAAAGTTATATTGCTTTTCATAAATAACTAATGGAAAACATATCCCGTAAAAATAAGGTTGCTAATTAGGATGAGAAAGCAAAAATATATTCCAAATAATTGAAATAGTCTACATTTTAAGATGTAGAAATATTTCACTAGAATATTTAAACAATTATTTCTTTAATATATTAAAAGTATTGCTTTCAACTAAGAAAAAAAGGTATGATTAGTAACTATTGGCTTTCTTTCTACAAATCTCTTTGAATTTAAGGAAATATGGCCCATAAATAAAGTAATCCAATACCGAATGAAAATAAGGGCTAAAATCAGTTTCTTCCAACATACAGCCACTACACATAGACTTGTCAAATATTGTAAATCTCTGTCATGGGTATATTTTTCTCAGTGGCTATGAATACACATAAAACTGTTGTTTAGGTGATAAATGCTTCGGCCTTGATATTAATTTGCAACTTTTTTTTTAGATCTTTGTATCCTCTCAAAAAGGAAAAAAAAAAAAGTATTTGCCCTTGCAGTTCCCATCACAGTATGAAGCAGCAACATTTTATTTACTATAGCTCAAACATGGATTAACAGTTATTACCCCAACAACAGTTATTACTACCACAAAAGATACTATGACTTCAGACATTAAAAAGAGATCTTGAGTGTCTAAGTAAAAGACAGTATAACTTCAGATATTTTTCTAAGGTTTTGTATAAAACTAACACACCGGCATGAGACAGATACAACTAGTTTTTTCCCCTTCTAAGATAATAAATGAAAATTACCATAAACCACATTTTAACATAATACTTACCAGCATGTAGGTAGTTTCAGAAGTTTACCATAAAGAGCAGTGCTGAAAGAGGGAATAATCGGTACAGGTAAGCAGTAAGATCCCCTACAATCCAAAGACGTCAGTCTTGCCTGGAAACCAAATATCTGAAACAAAAGAAAAGATCCAAATGTTCACAGAGACAAAGTTTTAATAAGCACAGGATGAAATACGTCAGTTTCAATTTGCTCTACAACAGCTGCACACTAAATATGTTCCAATGTCTTTTTCCACTTCCCAAACATCAACATTTTCTTTTATTCAATTTGACATTAAGTCAGAATTAAAAGATTTAAATATACAGTATTTCTTTCACATCCCAGAAAGATTACTGTTTTTTTTTTGACAAACCTTTTTAAGGTTCACATTTTATTTCTATACATAATTCTCATTTAGTGTTTTGTTGTCTCCGAAAATGCACATATTTTCTATTAATATAAACCGACTGCACTGTATACATTGTAGATATTAACTTTAATAAATTACTGTTAATATCATTATATGCCTAAAAGAACACTAACTACAACAAGAACAATCTTTAATTGCCTTCAATTAACATTAAATACACAAAGAAAGATACCCAAATATGTCCTAAAATGTTACATCTTTTCCCTTTCTTTTGTGAAAATAATTGTAGGGCTGAGGTTTTTCACCCCAGGAAATTTGGTACATGGTGTAAACTACTCTTCATATGTTTATACTTAAAACGAGCAGATTATACTCAAAAATTTTATAAGCATTCCCTGAAATTCCTAAACACTACATTTGCCTTAATAGGAAGGATCAATATAACATCACACTTTATATGAAACATTGCAGAGAACTGAATATATTTCTGCTCCAATTATTTCCAATAAAGTAAAAGATAAACATCTCAAACAGGAAACACCAACACACAGGGATACAAAAAAAGTTACTGTTTTCCAACAACATGCAAAAGCAGCTTAATCTCAACATTTATCTTTCATTATTATTTTTTATTCCTTGAGTTTATAAAGCACTGACTTTCCTATCTCTAGGATTAAAATTAACTGCAAGTTCTACAGTGAAACATATTTAAAATTTCACAATAACTAATTTTCACAGCAAAATACTTTCTTTTAATGAACACAAATGACCAACTTCTTAGAAAGTATTAAGCTACTTCTAAATGGTTTCAACAAGCTATTACGCCCCTATCATTTATCCAACTGACAATTTTAACTTCTTTCCTCTAAAGTCAATTTTCAGTGAACAAAATAATTTTTTGGAAAGAAGACATTAGTTAGAATTATATATTTTCAGAGAAAATTGCATTTCAAAGGACCTACCTACCTATCTAATTACTATCAAGGAAAATGAAAGTGATACACCTACTAATTCCTATAAGTCCTGCTATTAACCAAGTGGCAAGAAATACAGAATTCAGAAGAAAAAGAAAAAACCATATTTCTAACACTTTAATGATCAACCTTAAAAATTAAGTTATTCCACATTCATTCATTCTCTTCGAAGATTTGTTCTGAGCAACACTGCATGCAAAGAACTTCTGGGCATTCTGAAATGCGCAATTTCAGCATTTCATATTTCCTCTCAGACTCATTATTTAAAAGATTCTGAAATTTACAGTTATTAATACCACTCAATACAAAACATGATTATTAAAACAATGCCCAACCTCCAAATATTTCAAGAGTGTGAATAAAGATAACATTTTATCATATTAGACTATCTATCTTCAACTAAGCACCCTCTCAAGCCACTTTCTAATAGTCTATAAAATGCTCCAATAGTATAATCACAGACATTATCATTAACTGTACTGAGATGGAAATTGGGAGTAGAGGAGATCCCCTGCTGGTTGTTTGCAGAACTGCAAAGGACTTTGGGGAAACTGCAGATTATTCTGTAATTTTTTTAAGCTTCTACTAAATTTACATGTCGCCCAGAGAAGCTTCTAAGGGAATATTCAAGCAAGTAAAAATTGTAATGAAAGAGGGCCTATCTACCACATCAAAAATAATTATTTCAAATTAACTAATTTTCAACTCTCTCTCTTACATTACACCAATCAGATACATAGATTTACAATACCTGTGTAACCTAAAAACTTGTCAACAACACTTGACCAAAATTACAAATACTTCATCTAGAAAAAGAAAAACCAGTAGAGTATGAATTGAGGGGCTTTCACCAAGGATAGTTCATATAATCAGAAACAGAATAAAAGTACTGGACACTGCAAACTAATAGTCTGAAGCAGTAAGAATGTATGAAGCAGTAACTACTAACATAAATTTTAGCTGAAAGAAATGGCTACTTGAATGACTTACACATTACATTAAATAGAAAGTTAAACATGTAGTGCTACCTTTTAAAAAATCCAATTAGAAAACAATAAAAATAAATACATCATCTATATTTTAACACTTTACAACAAATGTTCTTGAATTAACATCTCAAATAGATGAAACCATAGTAGATTTAGAAACATACAACAACTTACTTCTAATAAGTTTTTAATAAAAATTAGTATGCTAAGTTAGGACTGGCAATGGTAGAAAGGCAAAAACTATAAAAAGCACAAACTGTAAATGACAATGAGAACACACAATAACTGTGATGTAAAATAAATCATTTTTATGCTGTTGCCATTATAAGACACTCGGTATAATAATATAATCAGCATCCTAAAGATTTGTTCTTTTCTTAAAGGAACAAAAAAAACCAAGCATTACCTTCATGAAAAAAGTTAATCTGTATACAGAAATACATTGGAACATACAAAAATTGAAGAAAGAATTATTATAACTAGAATTCTACAGCATAATAATGAACATTTTAGAAAGAAAAAGCCATCAAGGGAAAAGGATAGAACCAGATCTAGTTGATTAAAATTTAGAACTTCAGAGCTAAAACTGCTTAGAGATTATTTAACTATATCATCTCATTTCACATACAGGAAAAATGAAATCCAAAAAGGATAAAGAACTTCAAAACTACATATTGCTGGAACAGCAATATGATGCTTCACTTGATTTAGCTTATCTATTAGCTCACAATTCCACTCTGCCTTGCTTCCCTCCTCTCTCCAAAAAAGTAAGGTTGATTCTCTACTTATTCTTCAAGAAAAAACACTCTTTCTCACCACCACCTCTCCTCCAACCATCAGTAAAACTCCATTTCTCACCTTCATCAGCAAATATCTCAAAAGAGCAGCCTAGAGAATGCTACATTTTTTTTTTCATTGCCTACTCATTCCTTAAACCCTCTAAATCTAGTTTCTGTTCATGTATCCATTGAAACAAAAAGAAACTCTGGACTGAAACTGATACTTGCATTCTTTTCTTATGGAGAGAAATTAAGTATTTTCTCTTGATTTTTTTTCAGCACAATTTAAGTGAGGAAACAATAAATAATAATAAGTGATTTTTCCATCACCCAGAATTTTAAAAATATGAATACTGTGATTCTGTCATATATACTTTTAAAGAAATAAAATCCTCCAGAATACATAAGGAATATTTACAACTCAACAATAAAAAGACAACTCAATTTAAAAATAGGCAAAAGATTTGAACAGATATTTCTCCAAAAAAGATATACAAATGGCCAATAAGCACACGATAAAAAATGTTCAACGTCATTAGTCACTATGGAAACATGAATCAAAACCAGGAGATACCAATTAACTACCACGAAGATAATTAAAATCAAAAGGACAAACAACAACAAGTATTAGTGAGGGTGTGGAAAAATAGGAATCGTCATTCGCTGGTAGTGGAACAGCAAAACAATGTAATAATCCCTTTGGAAAAAAAGTTTGGCAGTTCCTAAAAACATTAAAAATAGAGTTACTATATGACCAGGCAACTCCACACTTGAGTTCACACAAAAACCTATATACAAATGTTTGTACGTGTATTATTCATAAGAGCCAAAAAGTAGAAACAACACAAATGCCCCTCAACAGATAAACAGATAAAATATAGTATATTTATACAATGAAATATTATTATTCAGCCATAAAAAAGGAATAAAGTACTGATACATGCCACAACATGAATGAACCTTGAAAATATTACTAAGTGAAAGAAGCCAGTCACAAAAGACCTTATGTTGTATGATTCCATGTATATGAAATATCCAGAATAGGCTAATATGTAGAGACAGAAAGTAGATTTGTGGTTACAAGGGGAAGAATGGGAGGAATAAATGGGGAGTGAAAGCTAATGGGTAGAGAGTTTCTTACTGGGGTAATGACAATGTTATGAAATTAGATAGTGATGATGGTTGCATTAACTCTGTGAAAATACTAAAAATCACCAATCTCCACTCTTTAAAAAAAGTGAACTTATGGTATATAAATTATCTCAGTAACGTTGTTATTCAAAAAATAAAAAACTTTACAACATAGCTAAAGTCTATTTTAACCATGACCCTCACACTAGTCCCACTGGCCCCCCCAACAACGTCCAATCCACCTTCAGGAGTTTATAATGTATCATGTCCCTTTGTTATACCTCTACAGACCCTTTTATATCTGGGAACAATCTTTAGCATTATTATGTTTTCTTAATTTACATAAATGGCATCACACTATATATACACCATTACACTTCCTGGTATTCCCACCAAGAATTACGTTGTACAGAACTATGCACATGAGCATATATAGACCTCTAGTTGTATATCTCCGTGTGCAAAAATTTCTCTGGGGCAGGGGTCAGCAAATTATAGCCCACAGGTCAAAGTCCACCTACTGTCTGTTTTTGTATTCTCTACAAGCTAAGAATAATTTTTACACATAAACATTTACTATCAATTTGATGATAGGGAACACTAAGTTGGAACCCCAATGAGGTGAAACGTTATCCCAAGAAAAAGAATACCATTCTTCTCATTAGCAAAACTATATTACAAAAAAGAGTACTCTTATATTTTGACTTTCATCAACTCAAAATTTATGGAAATTTGTTCTCTCTTATTATTTAAATACTTACATAATATCCTAAATTTTGCCTCTTGGCCCACAAAGTCTCAAATATTTACGATCTGACCCTTTAGAGAAAAGTTTGCTGACCCCTGCTGTAGGATGTATAGTGAAAATTGGAATGGATGGGTGTAAGGTAGATGTGTTTTCAAACTTATTAGATCCTGTGAAAGTACTCTCCAAAATGATACCAATTTACACACCGACCAACGGTGTATGAAAGGACCATTCCTCCAAAGCCCCAGCAAAAACTGTTTACTTCAGGTCAAAAATTACCAAATCTGAAAAATCCCAAGGGTTTTGAATTTACTATAACCTTCTTAATATCTCTGAAGCATCTGCCATAGCTGATCCTTAATGAGTAACAAGGCCTTAAATTTATGTCTTATTCTCTAGTTCACAGGGTGCCTTCACTAACCTATTTTCAACATGTTTCAAATACCAGATGCTTTGCGATGTCTTAGCTACTTGACGCCATACATATTCAAATGATGAGTTTGGCAGTTAAATAAAGAGAACTTGGTAACACATATGAAAGTTCATCTGCACGTTTTCTTCACATATCCATGCCAACTCTCTTAAATAATAAATTTCATTACATGAAATAGGAATTACATATTATTTCATCACATCATCAATACAGTCAAATTTAGGCATATAAAATTAAAACGAGCATTGATTATTTAAATTTGACATGCTATCTCTACTTAGACTATACATTTGTGTTTGCTTAGCAAAAATACTTATTATTTGGGGCCGGCCCGGTGGCGCAAGCGGTTAAGTGCGGGCGCTCCGCTGCGGCAGCCCGGGGTTTGCCGGTTCGGATCCCGGGCGCGCACTGACGCACCACTTGTCAAGCCATGCTGTGGCGGCGTCCCATATAAAGTTGAGGAAGATAGGCATGGATGTTAGCCCAAGCCCAGTCTTCCTCAGCAAAAAGAGGAGGATTGGCAGATGTTAGCTCAGGGCTGATCTTCCTCACAAAAAAAAAAAAAAAAAACACTTATTATTCAACATTTATCTTTCTGTATGTACCTATACTGGAATGTATTATTTATTTACAAGAAAAGATACAGAAGAGCTGAGCAAAGCCTCCAATAATTAACTTTACATAACTTGACTTAAAGCAATAAGAGAGTTTTCCTTTGCATCAAGAAATTAACATGAGAGGTGACATCAGCATGATGGTGGAGTGAGCCTGCCCCCCTGAACTCTCCCCCTCTAAGACACAACAAAAAAGGACATTCATATTCCAACAGAAGCTATTCACAAAACACAGGGAACCTCTGAGGCAGCCAGGCAGCGGTACACCAGAGCACTGAGGTGCTGGAATCCCCAGAGTAAGCGGAAGTCGAAGGAGGTAAGGACCTCCCTTCCTTCCCCAAGGACTGTGACCCAGAGACTGAGACCATGCCACTCTCAGAGGAGAGGAGGGGCTGCTCCCCAAAGGAAAACCGGTGCTCTCCAAGACCCCTCACAGCCCGTGGGGATCCCCCTATGGAGGGAGCGGAACTGTTGCGAGGGTAGTTTCAACAACCTAGCCCCTCAGGAGGGCAGAGAGCAATAGCAAGGCGAGAAACCTCTGAGATTGGGGAGGCGAAAGTAAGCACCTCTCCCTCACTGGGCCTGCTCAGCCGGCGCTTCAGCAAGGCGACGCTTCAGCTCAACCCCGTCCCCAGAGGCAGCAGCCCCCAGGCACCCAGGCCCCACCAGCAGGGGCAGTGTGACCGCGCCCCACCAGCACAGGCATCGGCCCCCAGGTGCCCGAGCCCAACCAGCAGCCACTTGCAAAAGAATGAAAGTAGACCATCTGCTTTCACCATACACAAAAATTAACTCAAAATGGATCAAAGACCTGAAGGTGAGACCTGAAATTATAAAACTCCTGGAGGAATATATAGGTAGTACACTACTCATCATCAGCCATAAAGGGATCTTCTTGAATTCCACGTCTACGCAGACAAGGGAAACAAAAGAAAAAATAAACAAGTGGGACTTCATCAGATTAAAGAGCTTCTACAAGGCAAATGAAACCAGGATCAAAATGAATAGGGAACCCACCAGCTGCAAAAAAATATTTGCAAACCATATATCTGACAAGGGATTAATCTCCATAATATATAAAGAACTCACACAACTGAATAACAAAAAAACAAACAACCCGATCAAAAAATGGGCATAGGAAATGGACAGACACTTCTCCAAAGAAGACATACAGACGGCCAACAGGCACATGAAAAGATGCTCAACATCACTAGTCATCAGGGAAATGCAAATCAAAACCACACTAAGATATCATCTTACATCCATTAGAATGTCTATAATCGCCAAGACAAAAAACAACAAATGCTGGAGAGGCTGTGGAGAAACGAGAACCCTAATCCACTGCTGGTAGGAATGCAAACGGACACAGCCTCTATGGAAAACAGTATGGAGATTCCTCAAAAAATTAAAAATAGAAATACCTTATGATCCAGCTATGCCACTACTGGGTATCTACCCAACAAACCTGAAATCAACAATCCAAAGAGCCTTATGCACCCCTATGGTCATCGCAGCATTATTCACTATAGCCAAGACATGGAAGCAACCCAAGTGTCCCTCGACCGATGATTGGATAAAGAAGATGTGGTATATATATGCCATGGAATACTACTCAGCCATAAAAAAAGACAAAATCGTCCCATTTGCAACAACTTGGATGGACCTGGGGGGTATTATGTTAAGTGAAAAAAGCCAGAAAGAAAAAGGCAAACAGTGCATGACTTCACTCATATGTGGAAGATAAACCAACACACGGACAGATAGAACTGTTTGGTGGTTTCCAGGGGCTAGGGGGGTCGGGGGTGGGCACAAGGGGCAGAGGGATGCACTTATATGGTGACTGACAAACAATAATGTATAACAAAAATTTCACAATGAAAAAAGAAAGTAACATGAATTTAATAAGAGGAAAGTGATTGAAAAACAAATGTTAAACCCTTTTTATAAAACATTGTCTCACATAAATATTAGCCTCATAGAAATCATGAGTCTTTTAAAGCATCCATACACACTAACTGCTTTTCACACTGCTTAAATATCGTCATCATCAATGATATATAAAATCTTCAAAAATTATAATTACCATTATCTTATAAATATCAAGCTATTAATCCCAAATAACTGAAGAAATATCTTTAAAATAGGTACTTTTATTTTAATTATAATGAATATATCTCTCATTTTATTTAAATCTCATCTTATTGGGTACTAATTCTGTGAAATTACAACTCCAGGATAAAAGATATTTATTTAATTCTCCCAAAGCCAATCAGATACTAATAAACAAGAAAATTCACCTTGCATACCTTAAGGTAGCAGTGTGCATAGCAATGATGAAGCAGATTATCAGAAGGCTGAGTAAGGCTGCTGACCACATGCACCAACTCTTCAGCGTACATCGGCACAGAATGTTCCAGATTAATTTTATCCACCAATATCTGAATAGATGGCAAGGGCCGAAGAGACTGGAAGTTTGTAGTATTCAAGAAGTTACTTGAATTCTGGAAAATAACAGTGTTCACTTTATATTTCAGGAGAACAGTGACTGATGTGCATGCAATGCCCTCTATACAAGCTTCAGACAGGCACATTTTGCAGTGATATCAAATCAATCTAGAAACGATACTTTTCGATGCCCACAGGGACTCTCTTATCATAACCAAATACAAAGGCCTTCTACACATTTTTAAGTATGTCCCAGATTTCAAAGAATGAATATTTATTGCAAAATTATCACTGCCCTTTTAGCTAAAGCTTTTTATTTCTTCAATCAACTACAATAGTGTCACTATTCACCTCAGTACATTGAAGGTATTTTCTTAAGCTCAATCATTCCAAAATAATTTCCTAGCTATCTCAGAGCCAGCCACCTTTTATCTTCTTTCCTTTTATTCACATTTAGATGACTAAGGGACTAAGTGGACTACTCCAGATAGTTTCAAGATACTCAGAAAAAGCAACGTTTGCAGGATAAAAAAATCCATGATCCATATCAAATCTACTAACATACATGCTAAAAGCTCATGAAGTCCTAAGAACTTCGAGGTGGGCTTGATATTTCAATGTTAAAGAACATTTCTAAGCTTCCAAATAAATGCTTCCAAATAAACTCCCTTAAAATGCCATACCTGTAGTTCTCAATGAGGAACAGTATGACCTTCCATCCAGAAGTATGTGAAAATATGTGGGAAGAGCAGTTTCATGGTTTTGTCTGGCTTTCATTGTCACAATAACTGGGGAGCAGCACTGGCATTTAGAAAGAACTGGCTAAAGATGGTAAATCCTACATAATACTTCTCTAGTCCAAAAAGCCAGTAGTGCCATTATTGAGAAACACTGAGCCTAAAATTGACCAAGTTGAACATACAACCCTGCCTTTTGGATTCATTATTAATAATAATTTTTTGTTTTGGTGAGGAAGATTGGCCCTGAGCTAACATCTGTTGCCAATCCTCTTTTTGTTTGAGGAAGATTATCGCTGAGCTAACACCTGTGCCAATCTTCCTACTTTATATATGGGATGTCACCGCAGCAAGGCTTGATGAGCAGTGCATAGGTCCACGTCCGGGATCCAAATTTGCGAACCCTGGGCCACCGAAACGGAGCACACGAACCCAACCACTACGCCACCACGCCAGCCCCAATAATAATTTTTAAACCATCACTTATTGAGCAATTACTTTACTTTTTAAAGCAACTTTATTTTGGATTATTGAGGTATAACACACAGCAAAGTACACAAATTTTAAGTGTAGAGCTCAAAAACGTTTTACCTGTAACCGTCAGGCATTTCAAGCACCGTAGAAGGCTGTCCTATGTCCCTTCTCAGAAAATACTGAATCCCCACCAGAGGTAGCCAATATTCTCACTTCAATCACCAAAGGTTAGTTTTTGCTTGTTCTTGAACTTCATACAAATAGAATTACACAGTATATTCTCAAGTCTGTCTGCCTGCTTTCATTCAACATAACATCTGTGAGAATTACCTACGTTGTTCATTCTCTGAGTTGACACTTTGATCATTATGAAGTGGCTATCTTTATTTCTAATAATACTTCTTGTCTTAAGCTCTATAGTTTCTGGTATTAAAATAGTTAGGCTATTGTTCCTTTGATTAACACTTAAATTGTATATCTTTTTCCATTCTTTTACTTTTAACTTGAGTCATACTATTCAGTTCCAGAATTTTATCTGGTTCGTTTTTATGGAATGAAGTGTCTTTTAAAATATTCTACCTTTTTGTCTCTTTCTTGACCTTATTAATCACAGTTCATGTCTAATACTGACATAATTTTTATTTTCTCCATTGAAATTTTCCCCAGATGATCTCTTAAGCCGGCAACACAATAATTAATTATGAGTGGCCGACAGAGGGTAAATATACAAAATGAAACCATTGCATCATAGTCAATTCCCTGCCATACTTCATAAGTTCTTGTTATTTAAAGTTAGGACAGTTTTTACTTCTATAATCATCATCATTATGTAGACATCAAAAGAAATATAACCAGGGCTGGCCTGGTGGTGTAGCAGTGAAGTACGCGCACTCGGCTGGGGCAGCCAGAGGGTTCGCAGGTTCGGATCCCAGGTGTACACCAACACACAGCTTGTCAAGCCATGCTGTGGAAGCGTCCCATATAAAGCAGAGGAAGATGGGCATGGATGTCAGCCCAGGGCCAATCTTCCTCAGCAAAAAGAGGAGGATTAGCATCAGATGTTAGCTCAGGGCTGATCTTCACAAAAAAAAAAAAAAAAAAAAGAAAGAAAGAAATATAACCAAAAAATAATAAATTAAAGATAACAGATAATACCTTACGGCAAACTCAGAGAGCAATACATTGTATATGAAACTGAAACAAATATTAAACATCTACTAAGTCCTCATTAACAATAACACTAGTAACTGGGTTCCTAATATGGGCAAAATGGTTTACACGCATTATGTCACTTTATATTCAAAATAATTCTAGAAGGTAGGTACTATAGGGGAACTGCTCTATGCCAGCACCCTGACAATCTTACACAAATCCATGTAACCACCAAAGGCAAGGCTTAAACTCAGCAGCCACCTACCTAATCCTTGGTAGAACATCCTGTGATACTCTCAGGGGAAGATAAGTAGTCTTGTAAGAAGCTGCTAAAAGATCATTTCTGACTGTCTCATCTTGAGGGGGGCTGCTATGAGACATTTTCTCATCAGCATCCCTCCTTCAGATGAGATATGGAGCTTTCAACCTACCCATCTTAGAGTACAGCTATAGGCTACATAACTGCTTAGCTGCAGTGTAGAAATGAATCCTTGCCAACAAGGTACCCTACCACACGTGTTGCACGTCATTTGGCCCTCTGTTTCAGGGTTGTCCTGAAAGCGGCATGGCGAGCTAACACCATTACCGACTTGCTTTTGTTGTCTGTGTGAGTAAAACTATCTGAATCTGTCTGGGTTTGTTGCTTCTTTACTGGCTGAATCTGTCAGCCCACTTGAAAAATACAATTTTCTTTTATTTTTCAGAAAAGGAAAACAAGGCTTAGGAATACAAAGCAAGGTGTCCTAGCTAGTATATGGTCTGACTTGTAGGCCCATGCTCTTCAGCATTTCTTTATACAGCCTTAGCTTGAGGTTATTTTATTTAAATACATATATATTTTAATATATATTTATATTTTATGTATATTATATAATAATTCATATATTTATATTTTTATATATTATAAATATATATAAATTTCTTTCTAAGAATTAACAATCATAGTTACATTGCTTTAACTTCATCATGGATAACTATATAAGCAGATATTCTTTTACTTAATCACTTTCCTCTTACAATATCCTAGGACTAAGAAATATGCATATATGAGAAAACAAGTAGTAAATCGCAAAATATACCTTTTCTCCCATAATGACAGGTAGCAAATGATCCAGCAAGTTGAATTCAGCCATGAAAATTGTGCAGGTACATTTAAGGAGAGTAACACTTGTATGTCGAGTAGGAATATATTCCTCCAAAGATGCCACTTCTTCAGGATTCAGTATTGTTTCATTTTCATCTCTAATATCTAAAAATGAAACGAAAATTTAAAGAAAAATTATTTTCAAATAATTAATTTTCTTAAATAACTGAAATATTAATTAATTGGTTCCCCAAATTTTAAGGTCAAATTCTATTTGTTTCAACAATGAAGCAGTTACAAAACAATGTGTTACCTTTAACAGATATAAATTACACTACTCCAGAATGTAAATATATGTCTTTGCTATATAAAAATTTACATTTTTGATTTTAAAGTATTTTTTAAATATTTTAAAGAAATTCCTAATCTTTTTTGTTGAAAGAACAACAGTTTCTGTTCATAAAAATACCATTGAAATAATATAAAAGTGAGCCACAGACAGGGAAAAAATATTTGCCATAGATAGATAACATAAATAGAAATAGATATCTAGACAAAGAACTTGTACCCACAGCATTTTAAAAATAAAATTTAAAACTTCCTAAAAATCAATAATAATTCAATTTAAAAAATGGGCAAAAACACCTTAAACAAGCAAAAGATAATGTATCCAAATGGTCAAAAATTATATCAAAAGCTAGTTAATGTCATTAGGCATCAGATAACTACAAATAAAGTCACAATGTGATAACACTACAGACCCACTGGAATGGCTAAAATGAAAAAGACTAAGAATACTAAATGTTGGCAAGTATGCAGACCAAACATCAGCAAACTTTTTCTATAAAGAGCCATAAAGAAAATATTTTTAGGCTTTGTGGGTCATACAGTCTCTGTCACAATTACTCAACTCTGCCACTATAGTACAAAAGCAGCCACAAACAATACATAACTGAATGAGCATGACCACGTTCCAATAAAACTTTTGGTATACATACACAATGGAATACTACTCAACCATAAGAAACGATGAAATACAGCCATTTGTGACAACATGGATGAAAATTGAGGGTATTATGCTAAGCGAAATAAGTCAGAGGGAGAAGGTCAAATACTGTGATCTCACTCATAAGTAGAAGATAAAAACAACAAACAAACACAAAGAGAAAGAGATTGGATCAGTGATTACCAAAGGGGAAGAGGGGAGGGAGGAGGGCAAGAGGGATGATTAGGCACATGTGTGGTGATGGATTGTAACTAGTATCTGGGTACGGAACGTGATGTAATCTATGCAGAAATAGAAGTATAACGATGTACACCTGAAACTGATACAACCTTATAGACGAATATGACTGCAATACAATTAAAAAAAGGCAAAAAAAAAAAGAAGAGGGAAACAACTTTATATGGAAACTGAAATTTAAATTTCATATTATAGTTTTCATGTGTCACAAAAGATGATGATTCGTTACATTTTCTTCAAACTTTTTAAATGCAAAACCCATTATCAGCTCACAGGGTGTACAAAAAGACGCAGTAAGTCTTGGTTTGCCAACCCCTGGTCAAGAACAACTCAACTCTCCTACATTGCTGATGGGAGAGTAAAGCGGTTCAACCACTTAGGAAAACAGTTTGGAAATATCTACTAAAGGTAAACATATGCAATCGTTTCAGCTAAGTAATTCCAGTCTTAAATATCCAAAAGAAATGAGCACATAGGTTCACCAAAAGGCATTTACTAGAGTGTTTGTATCAACACTACCACAATAACTAACAACTAGAAACTAACCAAATATTCATCAACAGTAAAATGGATAAATATGTTATGGCATATTCACACTATGGGATACTATACAACAATGAGAATGAATGTCATAAACATAATATATGCTAAAGCCAGAAACCAAGTGTACATACTGTGTGATTCCATTTACACGAATTCTAAAATAAGCAAAACTAAATCCACAATGTTAGAAGTAATGAGAGTGGTTACCCTGGGGGTCAGAGTAGTAACCAGAAGGGGGCACAAAGGGAACCTCTGGAGTGCTGGTAAGGTTCCATTTCTTGAACAGTTAGTTACATAGATGTAGTTAAGTTTGCAAAATTCACAGAACTTTACCCTTAGGTTTTGTGTGCTTTCCAATACGTCTATTACACTTCAGTAAATAGCTAAAGAAAAAAAAGAGTGGAGCAGAACTGCTAACTGAAGATTTAATACATATGCACTCATACATATGTATATATGTACGTACAGGCAGATCTCACTTTGCACAGTTCTGATATGCATGAATTTCAGTTATCTTGTTTTAGTTTAAAAATGCCAGTTCCCAAAAAACACAGTTCAAATATCAGTTACTATAGTACAAAACCTGTAAATAACTGTATAAAGTACAAAATTCACTGCTAGTTCTTCAGTCCACAAATCATTACATAAATAAGAGCTGAGCATCATGATTAGTGACCAATCATGTCACTTTTTTCAAAGTCTGTCAGGTTTCATTACTGGTGACTAGTGTCTGTTATTCAGTTCATGCACAGAGAGTAAAGCAGGTACTAGTTGTACTGCCTCCTTGTTTACTGGTGATAAACTCATGTGACATTTTACAAAAATGGATAATTGAAACAGAGAACGGGCAATCAAAGATGAAAGTCCAGCAAAGAAATAAAACTGCTAACACTGGAAGTGAAATTCTAATCAAACATAAATGGAGTTACAGAGGAAATAGCTAACCATGGGAATGTCAACACTGAACCATTGGAGAGACTCTACATATGCAACTAGGGGAACTTAGTGAAGACAAACTTATCAATGTAGATGAGGCAAGTAGTTGAGACAAAAAGGATGAAGATGTCTCAGAGGAAGTGATGCAAGCCAACTACTTCCCATTAAAAGAATTCACAATAGCCAAGACTTGGAAGCAACCTAAGTGCCCATCAACGGACGAATGGATAAAGAAGATGTGGTA